AGGCTATTGACTTGTCTGTATAGCAGCTTGTGATTAGCGCCAAAAGTTTTCACCATGTTCCGCTGATATGCGGCTCTGTCTTCTCTAAGCGACTGAGTGCAGTTGTTAAGTTAGGCCTTGCATTTACCCCAAGTATCGGGTTTTGTATATGATCTATACTCTCGCCGGGCTGCGTACCAACATCTAGTATGGAGTACTACCCCTTAAGAAAGAAACTTTTTAGGCCCATGGCAAGCCATGGAATCTGATGTATTCGTAACCTGTTGATTACATTTGATGACGAATTCGAGCCCGGCGATTTCAGGGGGTTATCGGCGAGGAACGGCCATCTTGTGGCACTGACAAGTTTGGCTAAACGGTCGTAGCCTGTACTGGTGCGCACTATCTCATGACGACATCCCGCGTAGCAGATGAAGTTTTAACTGATGTATGCGTGGAGATCCAAAGGGCAGTCTACAACTTATACTACAATCACGTTCCACGTTCGTAAGTACAAGATCCGGCACAGATCGTCTGTTACCTGTTCTGAAACGAGTGGGTAAGCTGACATGGTTTTAAAGCGGAACGCTGCTTACCAACTCATACAGATCAGATTTGAAGTGATCTCTGTTCGGGACAAGGCTTTCTAAACAATCTACATTGAAATCACCAACGAAATGAGTATAACTTCCCTTTAGATTGCATCGTAAAGCTATCGCAAGGTGGTAGTCCATTTCAGGTGTGGAGTTGGGGGCATTACACCAAAGCTGTAAAGCAGATATCTCTGACTTTTAAGCGCAGAAGACGCTAAAAAGAATCCGGGAACGGCGAGTCTGCACCCCCCACGGCCTCAGCCTGCAGATGGCCTGGGTAATACATATTACTCCTTCCCCTTTTGTAAGCCTGTCTTTTCTGATGAGTGACATGTTTGGAAGCGAGACTTCAGCGCTTGTCATTGCAGCGTGTTAAGATGTCTCCTTGACAATGATGATACCACATGCTTTAGAAACTTGACGATCATTCAGTTCATCCAGTTTATGGAAAAGAGCATGAGCAATGACATAAAAGCCGGTTATTTTTGGATTTCCATGACCTCATAGTTGGTTAAAGTTGTTAGGTAAAGGAGAATGCCGACCAGTGTAAGGTCGGCCATTATTCGTTTTTTTGATGGGATAATGATACGTCATCGGTAACTTGATGTGACTAAGATACGTCCCATTCCTTGTCAGGACTTACGGTAGCATCGCATGAATGAACGGTAAACGGATGCTCCTGTATAATCACCCATAGGTTGGCTTTTTCAGATTACTTAGCGTCTGGTGTTCACAAGGTTTATGGGAATTTTAACAGAAGTTCAGATGTAAGGCGGTTATGATTTCTCCGCCAACGTTTTAACACTTCCGACACTGCTCTGGCTGAATCACGTTTTAGAAATTTTGAGCCTCATCTTTTATAGTTTGGCGAGTGAAGTAGCCTTTTGAGTGAAAGGGTGTCGTTATTATCCAAGGAAATTGTTTCCGAATGAATCGCTACTGTTCTAAATCGTGATTTTCGGTCCCTTGCCTATCATTGGAAGGAAGATCTGGTTCCCAACGAATGAAGCTTCTGTTTCCGCGATCCTGCATGCTGTCATTCTGCGGTACATCTATTCGATTGTGGCGCGTTCCAAGAACATCAGGCTGTATGCGTATCCCCTGGATGCGTGTTTCAACGCACTTCCAGAGAGTACAATTTGTTCTACACCAGTGTTAAATTCTAGTGTCACTTTAATATATCTTGCTCCACTAGCGTGCGCGGAGTTTGGATGACCAGTGATTCGTACTAGGTTCTTGGGTTTGGTTTTCCTTCCTCAAAATGCACAATCAGTTCCACTGGTCATGGTTGCCGGACAATCTACCCAGCAATGTAAAGGCAGTAGATTCAAGGATATTTGAGCACACAACAGTCAGGATATTATATCTAGATTCCTTTTGTTGTTGAGCTGCAAGGTCGATTGATTGTTGATTCCGGCTTTCTGCCAAGTGATGATGGTCTACTCTTTATCTCCCTGTTCTCGTTGCGGTGTTTGCAACAGCGAAGACCCTAAGTATGACCTTTTCAGGGCTTCAACGCGACCGGAGACCCTTGAGTTCCAGATGCAGAAGTCTGGTGTTGGTCTGCCATATCCATGCTAATTAGGGAGCTTGTTAAGACTATCGGAACTTGAGCAAACAGAAGTTTCGGGTGGTTCCTGACCTTAGTTGTCCTGAGCACCGCTTGAGCATCAGAGAACCGACTATTCTTGCCTGACGTTCTGGCATTGTTGCAAGAGATAACTGCGATGGGATCCTCATCGATCTTGGTTCAGGTGAAGCAAGTGATACACCACTGAATCACTTAGAACGCACCACGCTGTCCTGACGCATACCCACATCAAATGAAGTGTTCTTAACTTTTCTTCTCTGTTCAACTTGTACTGCTAGTTGCTAGTAGTTTTGGACTAGAATAAGCATACACTTGACGAATTGCTTGGTCGAACACGCAATACAATATTAGAGCACGTCTTGGAAGCTGTTTCGATCTGACACCTATTGTTGAGAAAGAATTGTGCACTTTGAATGATACGATTGGGAACAGAGTGAGCGGGCAAACAAGTTGCTCAAGCGATTCCCTTCTACCGATCCACAGGCACCCTTCACATGGAACCCTTTTGGAGTAGCACCTGCTTGCTTTCTGCTATTCAGCATGATGTCGTTGCCAGTCTCTGTCAGCTGAATTTTGTGTACTTTTCCGACTATGGTCAGTTGAGCAGATCACTCAGACGTGCGATATCGTTAGAAAGAGCAAGTGAGGGAGGCCTAGCAGGTGATGTGGGGACGCTGGTCTGTGTGATGGGATACGCCGGCACACTGGTTGACATAGGCACAAAGAGTGGCGATTGGCTTTGGGTTATGGACCAATTCCAACTGAATGTTGGACGAGCGGTAACGTTTTGTGTAGATTCGTCGCAGAGCGGTAACGTACAACCTGGCGCCTTAGATCAGCCGACATAAAGAGTCTAGTTAGCTTCGGTCATTGGTGTCTTCGCAGTTTGGCTCTTATCTGGTGGGAACACCGCGTGAGCAACGAGCGTATTCGACGCGTTGTTTTTGGTACGGGAAAGAAAAATAAACCGCTCAGCACCATTGTTTCACCCACCAGGCTACGAGGACTCGGCCACATGTTTCGCATGCCAGCCCACCGACTCCCGCGACATGCGTTGTTTGCGCGCCGGGGGTGTGGATGGAGGAATAGGAGAGGTGCCCAGGCGATGACATGGTCGAGAGGAATGAAGGGTCCCACTTCGAAGCTGGTCTCGGTTGGAGCGTCTCGGCTCCCTGGTTGGGATCCGAAAGACGATGAACACGTTTGGCTGGATACGCTTGATGACATGACTAACAGCCGACCTCAATGGCGTTCGTACTATGGGTTCCTATTTTCCTCCCCATCTCTCTTAGCCTCCCCTCCAACCAATTCTCATTTGTTAGAATAATATATTTTTGTATAATAACTCTTTTTGCTGCTTAGTTTCCGGCTGGTAGCTTTTCGGTACCATGTCCATCCGTTACTGGTAGCTCAGCTGGCATGAAACTTGCATCTTTTCCCTTTTATTTACTTTTACGTATTTCGGCACATTAGCTGAGGTATGCTCCAACTCTAGCTAACGTTTATAATGATGATGATAATGCTGATGATGCTTTGGTAGTGGTGGTGCTGTTGAAGATGAGGTTGATAATGAGGAGGAGGAGGAGGAAGATTCTGATAATGACGATGAAGTGCGGTGTAGTCAATGCAAGTGTTGTTAGAGAAGAAAGATTATTGCTTGACTTAATCACCAAAAGAAGGACCTTCCAAATGAATGTAAAATATCCACAAATTGCTTGAGAACTGGAATATTGCACTCTTGAGTTTCAGCAAGCAATCTGTCACAAACGCGGACTTAACTCAGAGGTGAAACGGTAGGAGCAATCCAAAAGATAAGTATGCATGTTGTACAGTTAATAACTTTGAGTCGAAGGAATGTAAGCTCAGTGGTGTGCAACAAATTGGTGAGGAATGGTCAACAGAAGGGCAAGAGCGTTGAATCAGTCCGACCGCAGGCTAATGCCTGGGTGAATTATCACAATGTAAGTCAGTATTCACATCCTCTTAGGCAATTTGACTGTTGGCTTGGTGTCAGCGAATACCAGGTCGATGTTCCGCCATGCAACTACATTCTAAATGAGATAGTAGGGAAAAAATTGGTGGAAATGTTTGGGTACTATGCTATACAACCTACCACGGAATCAATCGATTACTTAGTCTCAAAGTAAAACATTGATCCAAAACCAATTAAAAGTACTGGCTATTCGGCAGTCGTTGATAAGACAGTGAGCAGCGAATAAACGCCATTTTTATCGTTTCAGAGCACGAAATAGTATAGTGCAAAAAATATTGCTATCAATAAAGATCTCTATCATTTACACCTCGGATACCGCTTAACGACTGGACACCCAGGGTTCGCATCTACTTACTTTAGTGAAACAAGTGGACCTGTAAATGACATTGTTTTCCTATTGCATTCATGTGCTGGCATGTTAATGTTTAGCAAGGCTCAATTTTCTCGAACCTATTGGCTTTCATATTGGTCTCAGAACGTTAGCTGATGATTATCGACTTTTACTTCTTTCATTCCACACTATCGTCCATGACCTTCACATTGCAGAATGCTGGTACAAGTGGGGTGCAAGATTGATGGAGTCAGCGTTAATGATCAACTTTTCATGATGTGACTTTGGATAAGGTGTAATTGAAATAGGCTTCCACCGCAATAGCTTTTGTTCTAAAATGTAAACAACTACTTTAAAAAGAAGATGAAACTACACACTATAATCATGCCTTCGGAGGTGTGCCTCGAACATTTTCTTTTCTAGAATTAACTTTTATTTTTTATTACTAAGGAGGCAGTGATCGGAACCGCCAGGACTAGAAAACAATGAAAAATGATTTGTTACGTTTAACAGGCCATTATCAAAGATGCAGTCGACCGCCATGGAAGTGACCGAGTAGTTGCACACATTTCTCTGTTGGAGCCAACATATGATGAACAATTCAATCAAGGACTGAGTCCAGCCTACCAACCAAGTTTGAAGTGCGTGGCTGCCACTCCTGAGTCGCTGGCCACTTGGATGGTCGGCAACACTCCTCCGGCTTCTATAAATAATCTCATCTTGGGAGTAAGTCCACTGCTAGTAGCTGAACTACAATATGATTGACATTGCCATGTTTTCCTTTATGGACGGACTGCTCAAGTTCGCTATTTGAAAACGGTTTCTAGGCAACGTAAGCTAAGACTTTATATGTCTTTGCCTATATTTTCCAATACCTCCGAATACGCAGCAACAGTGAGCGACAGTGGTTGATGGTCGATATAATCCAAAAACCCGTTCATCTCCTTTGTGCGGAGCTCATGGAGCCAGATATAAAAGATATTTATATTTATACCTGGTTGTCAGCGGAAGCATTTAGGCCTGAAGCAAATGTCACAAACAGAGGGCCATTTTGCGGTATGTATAGTGAATGGGAGCAGATAGCTGTCCAACGCTAATGATTACGTGCAAGTGGCAAACGCGTTGTTGTTCATCGATTACCAGGTCTTTCTGGTCCCAATTCGCAACTTTTAAGCTTTGCTCGTCAATTTAACCGTTACGCACCATTGTTTTTAAGTGTAGCTTCTTCGTATTTCGGTGGTCCCCTGACCGTTTTCATCCTCATCTTCTTCTGCTTTTCCTGTTCGTTTTTCATCTTTTTACATACACAGGAGTACTAGCAGTAACCGTATGAAGTGGTTAAGGCTGTGTCCCCAAGTGTGTTGATGATGACTAGCGTTAAAATAGTTCCACCAGGTCGCTTCTGATTATGATTTGTTTACCCAGTTAACAAAACACTTTCATACCTGCTGTTGTACTGCTACTGCATTAGAAACCTACGTTTCGTGTGCACAGCGTGTTTAGCAGTTAGTACCGTTTCATGAAACTTGATGTAGTGACTGTTGTGTGACAGAAAACCGGTGATTTCCACATGATTTGCAGCGTTATTGGCTTGATCCTTGACATTTGATACTGAGTCAAACTATCCTTTTCAAGCATTAATGGCCATACACATCTTATCGCTTGGTTCTGTAGTACACTTCGAACAAGCAACAATACTGTAGACCCTAAAGTTCACCCCAAGCAAAGTTATATTTTTGGAAATAGCGGCTCAGAATCAAAGAACATTTTATGACTGTTGCATGACATCTACTAAACTCATTCGACGTCTGAACAGCCAGGCGTAAACAAGTGTGCGCTAAGAGGATGGTTGGCTTACGAAGTAAGTTCTTGTAGGTGAACGACTCAGCCCAAACATAGCACAGAAGTTTGGAACGAACGTGTTCAGGTACGTTTACCGAGAAAATACAAATGAAGCATCCTGTCAAGTCTAATATTTTACACTATAGGTTCAATATCCAAAGACAGCTTTAGGGATTCTGGCTTCAATTAAACAAGTGGAAAAATTCATCTTTATCCAAAGCCATTAAGTGAGATCCGGTGACATCTTCCATGGACGAAATGCTTACTTGAAATGCGCAAGCTCTTTGTTCTGGTACGTCATAGCATTTCACGTAATGCCTCCAAGCATTTCGATGACAGACTAGTTCTCGAGAGCTTATTCAGTGTCAGTGGTCACAAACAGGTGGTGTGAAGAAATAATGAGGATTCACTTTTTAATGAACTACTGCATACAATCCCCGTCAAAACTGCAGCTCCCATTCCTAATGAGAAGAACTGTACACGTTTTGGAATAGAGCGAATGGAGGAAATCACGGTGTGTCCGATGGTGTTGACTGCCGAAATTACCAACGCATTTAGGGCTTCTTGCTCGGAAAGCATCGGTCGTGTATTCACCACTTTTAGCAATGATGCTCACCGATATAACTTTCAAATTCCGAGGGGCTATAACCTTGCATAGAAGACAGAGGGTTGAACTAATTCTCACAGACTAACAGGCCCACACAAGTAGTCTTACTCTGCCGTTGACCTGTCTTCAAGGTAGGACAAGACAAACACTCCCACACGACAACTCTGTGCTCACAAGGAACCACAGAACAGGTAATTACTACGCAACCAAAAGGCGATGACGGTAATTTGTTCAGCCGTCCCAGAACCCACTAGTAAATCGTGTAAAGGTAGACAAGCCGAGGAGCATAAGCGCTGGGCTGAGATAGTCTGTGCATTCGGACTGAAAGTTATTCAAACTGGTTTTACACGCCTTTCATGAGACCCATCATCGCCACACGTAACTGAACCTCTGTTACTACAAGTAATATTCGACAATACACGGGATCTGGAGATATTCTTTTAGCAAGCCAAATTCTAGTGAACTCTTCTGTCGTGGCCCGCATTTTTTCGGATAACCCATGGGCGAAGAAACAGAAGCAGAAATCCGCCCCGAGCGCGACACTTAACAATGCGATGAAGAAAGTGGTACTGGTTCTTGGTGCCAGAATTGAAGCATGACGGTAATAGTGAGCGACAAAACACGATAGCAAAGAGTAGAGTACATGACCGAGCTCCACAAAATGTGAAACGTCGTGGCTGTTGATGTCACCCGTCTAACTGCCTCCACAAACTACCACGTTAGCGGGCCAAGATTTTTGAAGTTACCTTGACTACGCAGGAGGTAGTATCAATGGCGATCCAAAAGTGGCATGACAACAGAGAGCCTGGTCCACCAGAAGTAAGTTTAAGACCATTCCTTTAACCAGTACAGAGCTAAGGTCTAGATGAGCCAGACTCGGTTGTTCCTACCTCTGATCAGCGAACCGTACAAACACCCGTTACGATAAACATCAGCAGACCGGCACAATTTGTGCTTATCAAACACAGCGAACCGAGCTTCTAATGCGTCAACAAATACAGGGATGCTACACCAACACTCAGGGGTTGTATTCTAAGTTCTCGAAACTGAGCCATCGACATGAAACGACAACTAGGGGCATTATAGCAGTGACTGAAATGTGGCTTTCAACCATCACACCAGATCCAAAAATTTAGCTTAATGAAATATTCGTCATTCGGAATGATCGTCTACTGCGCGGTGGCGGCGTTGCTGTCTCCCACACAGCGTATCTGAAACGCTGAGCCCCTACCGATCATTCCCTTGTTATTCCCGACGCACATTTGGCCAACGACAACCAGCAGGCCGAGATGGTGGATCACAGAAGATGCGTGATGTCTACTTCTTAGCAGGTGTATATAGACCACGAACTCCTCCGAAGACAGCGACAACATTTTGTTAAACGCTCTTCGCTATGCTGTCTCAAAAAGTACACATACCACCTTACATTGGTCGACCTCAAGGTACCTTCAAAAATATCAGTGTCCCGCAGTGGACCTTACTTCAAATCAAGATTTTTGAATTCATGGATATGTCACTTTTGTACAACCATGCGTATCGACCAACAAAACGCCGAGATTCAAACAAGACATTACTTCTGGACTTAATCGTGATTAATGAAGAGTTGATGGTTGAGTCGGTTTCACACTAGTAACAATGATCATTCAGTCCTAATGTTTGGCTGTGCGTTATGCCAGTATTGCTGACAAAGATCGAGAACCTCAGTGAACTGTTATTGACCATTCCAAGCTTCGCAATCTAGCGACAACCGTTGGCTGGGACCTCTAGCTGAACAGTTCAGTGAAAGACGCATGGAATGAATTAAAATGAAAACTTAACAGGGTCATACAAGCAGCCTCAAAAATTGTACCAGTACGAGTATCGTGCAGGACCAACACATGAATCCGAAGCAGAACACGTAAATGGATCGGAAGGAGAGATGAGGTTTAGTGGCTAAATGCGCTAAGCCCATTTTATACCACATGGCAGAACTACAAAACAATACGAAATTATTGCACGTCATTTATGAAAGTCGACAAGTATGTACGTCTGAAGACCATGGTACTCAGGTTTACGGGTAACAGAATAATACCCTACAGGTATGCGAATGGCGAACGAAAGGTTAAACCTGCAACGCCACCACTCGAGGCAGCCAGTGTCTCAATCACTACGTTTTGGATACCGCGAACGTACTGCTCCTACAGTTTGTCTCAGCGACAACACATACCTTGAGACCCTTGCCCTATCAACTCCAACAAATTTCGTCAAATTAACCAGTGTCAACTTTACCCCAGCACGTGTTTTTAGAAAATTGTAGTCTTTCTGAGAGAACAGTGCCCCATGAATCTACAAAATCTGCCCGAAGACAGTTAAAACTCTTATCCACACCAAAGAGTATATATCGCAGCCCTTTTCAGTGTTCACTTGATTCACATACACGCCCATCTGACTTGAAAGGTGGAGTCTTCATCGCAATACACAAAGAAGCTGAACGGTCGGATCCAGCCAACTGCCGACTTATTACTCTCTGCTATTTTATCAGAAATGATGGAAACGATAATCGTAGACAAACTGACGCAATATTTTGAGTTCGCAGGTGATTTCCCATGTCCAACATGGTTTCAGAGGCGGATGATCCTTGGTAACCATTCTGCTTCTTGATCGGGACTCAAGGACCAGGGCGGCCGGCGCAGTTCTCTTGGATGTAATTTACTTAGACTTATCCAAAGCTTTTGACAGAGTCAAACACATTGATTTCTTTTGAAAGCTTGGTGGCTGCGATATCAAAGATTCCCTGCTTACCTGGCTGGAAGGTTATCTACACGACAGAACTATCATGGTAAAATTAGCTGACACCCACTTCGAAGTCTCTTGCGTCTCCAGCGGTGTACCGCAAGGATCCGTCCTCGGCCAGTTAATGTTTTTAGTCTGAATCAAGGAACTCTAGGCAAACATACTATCACAGATACAAATATATGTAAATGTTATGTAGAGTTGTTCGCTCAGTATCTGACTGTGTCTATCTCCGGAACAACTTGGACCGGATTAGCGAATGGGCAGAAATGAACCGGCTAACACTGAACTTTGTCAAGTGCCACCTGCTGATGCTGAGCGGCAGTTTCACCAACACATACCTTTTGGGATAGCAAGGTTTGCAACACGTAAGGAGTGAACGAAATTTAGGTGTCATTGTTATAAAGGTCTTGGAAATTTTTACCAATGTTCGAAAACAGCGAAGATAGCGAACTTGAAATTAAGGCTTTTGAAGCGAGCTCCAGGTACCTTGCTGATTAGGCAG